TGTTCAGTTGAGTCAGAAACTCTGACATCCATTGGGTCAGCCTGCAGGGCCTTCTGTGAGTTACCATTTAAAGCACTTCAAACCCTGCTTTGGAAGACATGACCTTTGCCTCCCAGGAAATTTCTTGGCAATTCTGACTTGAAATTCACCCACCTTTCTTATGGTGACTGAATATTTCTTTATGCACAGATATTAAAACCTGATTTAAAAAAAAGAAAATTAAGGAGCCAGCCCGGAGGTGCAGTGGTTAAGTTCGCACCTTCCGCTTCGGCGGCCCAGGGTTTGCCGGTTCGGATCCCAGGTGCAGACATGGCATCGCTTATCAAGCCATGATGTGGTAGGCACCGCACCTATCAAGTAGAGGAAGATGGGCACGGATGTTAGCTCAGGGCCAGTCTTCCTCAGCAAAAAGAGGAGGATTGGCAGCAGATGTTAGCTCAGGGCTAATCTTCCTCCCCAAAATAAATAAATAAATAAAATTTAAAAAATTAAAAACCTCAAAAGTTGCTAAATACACATTTTAGAATATACCATGTGCATCTCAAAATAAAAATTATTCATAAGCAAAAAAAATTCATAAACAAAGGTAAGAATGAAAAATATATGAAAGCCTTCTTTTCAAAACAAAACAAACTTTGAATGGAAAGAGAGAGAAAAATGACCTAAGAAAAGTCAGGTCAACGGCCAGCCTTCCAACAGGAGATAGACAAGTCTGCACTATCGTATAAGAGCTGAGTCTTCGTTAAGGAGGTCGCACAGCCTCAACAGCCATGTGGCGTCGTCTCTGCCAGACCGGAGTGCTCTCTGCTGTAAGTAACTTGTGTGTTTAGTTCAGACCAATCGTGAAGTCATGAAACTTTTCTCAGGCTCAATTTCCTCATGTGCAAAAACAGTGGCAGTCATCTCCTAGGGCAATGGTTTCAGTTAAATAAATAGCCCCTACAGAGCACTTAGCAAATACACTCCCAGAAACAGACTTCTCTCCTTCCGCCCTTTACAGGTGATAACATTTCCATCCCACCCTTTATGAGATCACTTAGCTTTAAAGAGCAGGCGCACACACGGAATGATTTCCAGCTCATATAGTCATGTTTTTAATTCCCCCCAAATGTATTAAACTGTGGTCTATTCTTAAAAGGGATACTATGCAACAAGAAAGGAATAAATTACAGCTACACGAAACAATGCGGATGAATATCACAGACAGAATGTTGAGTGAAAGAAGCCAGATAGAAAAGAGCATCTACTGGATGATTCCATTTTTACGAAGTTCAAGAACAGCCCCGTGGCGGAGTGGTTAAGTTCGCGCACTCTGCTTCAGCGGCCCAGGGTTTCACCAGTTCGGATCCTGGGCGTGGACATGGCCCCGCTCATCAGGCCATGCTGAGGCAGCATCCCACATGCCACAACTAGAAGGACCCACAACTAAAAATATGCAACTATGTACTGGGGGCTTTGGGGAGAAAAAGGAAAAATAAAATCTTAAAAAAAAAAAAAAAAAGAACAGCCAAAGCTAATCTACAGTGATGGAAGTCAGAATAATGTTTACCTGGAGCAAGGCATGGGTGAGGTGGGGGAGATGGGGGGTGGAAGGGAGGAGAGGCACAAGGGTTCTCTGGGACACTGACAATGTTCTGTACCTCCATCTGAGTGGTGGTTACACAGGTTCATATATATGTAAAAATTCATCAAGCTGTATACTTAAGACCTGTGCATTTTACTGCCTTTATGTTATACTTCAATAAATAATGCTAAATAATCTTTTTTCAAGGCACTTATTTGACTTAATCTTATTACATGGAAGTTTTTCTCTCGTGTATTCCCTCCAGGCTCTTTTTACATTTTCACAAGTGATAAATGTATTCACTGGAACTTCATAACTGTAGGAATAAAAAATTACGCATATGTGAAATTTTCCAAATATGAATTCAGCCACTTAAGTAAGAAAACTATTACTCTCTTAGATAAAAATCTTTATGAAATGATTTGCAGTCCTCGCTGTCATTTTAAACAGACGCTATTGAGCACATCCTTCTTCTCGGTGAATCAAGGTCATCCTTAGAAACGTGCCTGGTCGAGCTGGGCTGCAACGGAGTGATGGATGGCTTCAGAGGCCACTGCTTCTATGCTGGATGACAGGAGTTGTTGCCGTTTTCCTGTTATCTGTTATTATTATCTTCCCTGTTATTTTTCGTTGTTGCATGCCTGCCTCTAACCATCCTGGTCCTTCTCATTTGCTTTCTCTCATTCATTTATTCACATATTTGGTACATATTCTTTGAATGCCTACTATGTGCAAAGCACTGGAGATACAATGGTAAATAAGACATTCATGAACCACGACCTAAAGGAACTTCCGTTTTGGCAGAGGAGGCAAGTATAAAACAAAACAAATATGATGACTACCTTAAAGGAGGAAGTATAGAACCTAATTTAGGGGGTCTGAGGTCACCTTGAAGAAGTGACATTTAAGAACTGAGAGATGAGAGCCTAGCCCAGAATGAGACCTTAATAAATATTCGTTGAATGAATGAATGCATGCATGAATGAATGATCATCAGCCAACAAAGAGAAGAAAGAGTTCCGATTTCTTGTGCACCAAGAAAACAGGAATTTTACTGAAAGATGCCTAAACCAAGAGTCAATAGGCACCGAATGAGGCCCTCATGGACTTAATGGCATTAATTTTGGCTGCTATGAGGACTGTTTTTGGCCTTACTTAAAACCTTGAGTTGCTAGACAAGTGAAGGATTTTTAGTCATTGCTCAGCTAACCTATACATATGCCGTTTTTATTTCATCCTACCAAAATAAAATCAGCCAAAAATAGCCCCAGTCTTTAGGATGATTCCTCTAGCTGGCCTGCATAGTTCTGACCCCAAGCTCCCATGAATGTGATTTTTCTGGCACAGTTACTCAAAATCATCTCTAAAGGTGCGTGTCACCCACTCACACCTTTGCGTTACAGTTCTGTCCAAACAAGCCAAAACAGCCCGACTTCTCGGGCATTGCGGCATGTTGCAAATCGCCACCTAATTTGAGGCCTATCATTATCCCCAGAGAGTTCACCTTCACGACATATTACAAATCAAGAAGTTGCAGTCTAAAGGACAGCAGCGACAGATGACAACCTCCTTTGTGGAGAGACTTTACTCAATTAGATGAGTTATGAAGCCACCGTGATATGGAAGCATTATTATATCACATGTAACAGCAAAGTTTAAAATGCCAGACCAATTTATTCAGGGCTTGATCTGATGTACGACTTGATCCATCAAGAAACTATCATGGAACCGGAAGAACTCCTAGCAAGAGATGTAAAATGTAGCCTTTGGTGATCCTACTTTCTTACAATTCTGTATAGATCTTTGGGATTTGAAATTTGAAAAAGCTAAACAAAGGAACTGCACTAAATAAGGATTTTCTAAAAGAAATAAAGGGAAATGAGGAATGACAAGTATCTGGAAATGGTTTATTTTTAGCCTTTTTCCTGGAGTCTCTCTGTTCCTCTGATAAAATTTCAAGCGTGCAACTGCATCCGTCTACTTTAGAGACAGTGAATGAATCAGAGCTCCGTATTGCTCAGGGTCTGTCCTGGACTGATGTGCTGTCACAGAAGGTCAAAAGTTTGACAGACTCTAAAGCAATCTAAGTGCATCTATGGGACAGACAAGTAGACAGCAAGTACTCTTACCTCTGTTTCGAAATCTTCAAAGAGAAGTAAGAAAAAAGTTAATCCACCTGTCGCAAGTTACATAAACTTTCAGTGATCAGGGTAGTGAAATAACTCGCTGCTAAACTCAATTTTCTGAGATGCATACAAAAATAACAACTCTGCTTCCCTCGGGGGAACTCGATGTCTTTTGACCTCCACGGTGGTTACATTTAGTCTTATTTACCTAAATACACAAAGCCACCTCGAAGTCTTTCCCTGTGAAGCAAGCTTCCTCTAACTCTGAAACAATCATTTCTTCCAGCCATTGTGCCATGACTGGGAACTTGTCAGAAGAACAACACTTGGCTTCTTACTGCCAGTGTTCCTGGGCCAAAATGTACCCAATCATGGTCTTTCATAATCAATAGGCTCTTAAGATACAGTAAACAGGCCAAAGATTCCATATGTTTGTGAAATTGCATATAATATACTGCCACTCCTTTCCCCAAGAACTGACCATTACAGAAATCTTCTGGAGCTATTGTTTTTCTAGATTTTCCTATTTACTGTTTGGGTTTTAGCCACTAATAGCACGGTGGCAGGTATCTGTCAGGATTTCATTATTACGATTGATCAAATCTAAACATTTGATTAAGGCTCTAGTTTTATCACGTATGCTCATATTTTCACCAAAAAAAAAAAAAAAACCAAGCTAGAATATAAATACTATTCCCAAAAACTATTTAGTCATTAGTTTCTCCAGAACTCTCTACGCCCAGCACACAGAATCATTCCTAGCAGCTGCATTTTAAAAACACAGATTTGAGGATAAGAAGCAGTCTATCAAGCTGACCTTTAATTTGTTATCTTGTCGAAATTTAACAGAAGGAGGAAAATAAAGAAAGTTTAAAAGTATTATCGTGAAACCAGAGCCACCATTTAGCAAAAGCTTTTAGTGGAATGAGTCACGGGGCACACGAAGTGCAAATCGCAAGGTTACACGTCGCCTCTTAGAAACTCTGCACCTGGTTCCGAAGAATTCTTTGCGAAAGCAAATGCTACCATCTGATGTGGAGCATTGGGACACCTCCAGCACAGGGAGATATCGCCTCACTCTCCATGGCACGCACGGCCCTCTAGCAAAACCGAAAACAACGTCTGATCGAAACTGAAGATTACAATTATCCGGGAACGCCGAGCCACCGAAAAGTACAGTTTGCAAAGAAATTACTTCTGCGCCCTCCCCACCGCCGCACCATTCCCGCCCCTTCAGCAGAAGGGGACCCAAATCGTATGTAATCTGACATTTAAAAATATTTATAAATACTGAAGTATGAAACAAGTACCTGCCAGACACCTGGAGCTCTCCTTCCCCTGCTCGCTCTCTCCTCCCACACTCTGGCCACGGAATGCCCTTCCAAATCATGGCTCAGTGCTTTTGGTAAATGTTTTACGAGACACTAAACAGTCTTGTGTCCCACCCTCAGAGCAAACACCATTGAGAGAACACAATATAATGGTCGCAAGGATATCGTGTGATGTACAATAATGCAAATGAACACACAGGCTCTATTTCCACACTTCCTCTTAAGGGGGAAAAAAATCCCAAATTTGCAAGGAGTTGGGTGGGCTCGCAGAATTAAACCTTGACACTAGAGGCGTTAGAGTTGGGGTGGGGGGGTGTGTGTGTGTGTGTGCGCGCTTAAAGCAGCATTACGATAAGCTCATTGTTCTAATCGCCAAGTAAGTCTTGGCTTGCTAAACCGAAAAAGTGTCAAAGGCAAGAGTTAACAAAGGGTAGAGCTCACCAGGGAGTCTGTAGACACAGGACCAACTACACATTTACCGTCCATTTCTATTTATCAGAGCAAAGGCACCTCAAAACAGCTTTTCAGAACCATCTTCCACAATAAACGAAACGTACTGCCCGTTTTCCATAGCCCTCAAGTCATTCACAGTTAAAAAACCAACTCTGCTCCAAACCAGAAGTTTTGCATTCCATTCAAGTTAACAATTACAACTGGAGGATAACAGAAACTTGCTGGCACCGAATTATTAGCATACCCAGAATGTCAGGTGCCTCTTGGAACCACCAGGGTTAACAAGATAAAGAGGGTGCCCTGGAATCATCTGCCTGGTTCTACAGAAACTATATATGGAGATTGCTAGAGTCCGGAGCCCATGTGGCCAGCACACACCAGCCGCTCTCAGTGCTCTGAGTGGGACAGTCTGAGAAATGAGAAAGCAGCATTATTTAGCAAGCGTCAAGCCTACTTCCTAAAAGAAGACCAAGGCCGTCTAGAGGAGAAGAACGAATTGACTTTGGCTTTGGAATAACACACATAGACAGGTTAGGCAAATTAAAAAAAAAACCACTCTCTCGCCCCACCCCCTGCCCCAGTCCCCAGGAATACTCAGAATTCGGCATTTCATACCTTTAGGATGTCTAGTCGGGTAGAAAGAAAACTGAACACAGAATTGAGATCATGGCTTTTCTATACACCAGCTGTGTGACCTTGCACAGATCACTTGACCTCTCTGAGCCTGCTTCCTCATCTGTAAAATAAAAATGTCTAAAACCGGGAAAGCTATCCCAAAGAACTGACAGCTCTCCCAATTTGAGAGCCTAGAAAATGGCACAGAATAGTCCTTTACATTTTTGAAACATCTTAAGGGTTACTGCAATTTTTTTTTGTCTTCCCCCCCCCCCCACCTTATGTACATAGGTCCCATCTTATTTTCAGTTTCCTCATATTACAGGTACCTCGGGTTAGTGCTGTGACTAAGGGCAATTGACTTCCCTTCTCTTTAGTCTGACTGACTAATCTGTTTTGGGTGGGTATCCTACATGGCCGGTTATCTGCCTCTCAGGGGCGTGGTGAGGGGCCCTCCCCAGCCTCCAGCCCAGGCTCTTTGCTTTCACATTTCTCCTCATCGTGAATTCATCTTGCCCTCTAACACAAGTAGCAACCTGCTTTATAACGTCTCATCCTCGCCTCACTTTTTTCTCCTCATTATCTCTTCTTTTTCCCTTCCTTCCCTCCTTCCTTTTCTGCCTTGCTTCCGAGAGAGAGGGAGACAGAGACAGAGAGACAGACAGACAGACAGACAGACAGACAGACATGGGAATGTGGTGGAGAGCAATTATTCTCATCATTCTATTTTTTCCTACTATTTTATGTTTATACTTTATATATCAAACAAGCCGTTGAAGGAGGTAAAACAGATGTTATCATCCAGATTCTACCAACGAGAGACCTGATATCCAGAAAGATCCAACAACTGGCCCGAGGTCGCAGGGCGACTGCAGATGCCACAGGGACTGAAGCTCGGCTTTCCTGACAGACCAGGATTTCCCTGTTGCCCCTCAAACGCTGGCCGGCTCCCCGCCCTCCAACACCTCTTCTCAGTGCCCTGAACTGCCCCCCGCTCTAATCACTTCTCCTTACTCTTTGTGACATATTTTCCTCTTAGATGGCTCTTTGCCTCGTCTCCCTCCTTCCCCTCCCTCCAGGCTAGTCAAACTCCTACCCTATTTTCGGGTTTATCTCACTTGACCCCTATAACCCAGCTCCGGGCTACTGCTGTCCCTGCGTGCCCTTCTGTAGACAAACCCAACAGGAGCAAGTCTCCAAAGCCACAAGCCTGCGTGACCAGGGAATAATGACTCACTTGATAGGAGTCTTTCCTTAGTAGCACCTCTTTTGATCGTGTACCCTGGGACCCCCTGGGCCAGCATATTTGTGTGTACATCAGCTGCCTCTAGACCACCAGAGGATCCACCTCTGCGGCCGTCAGTGAGGAGTTCAGTGCTTATTATTAAGGAACATATGTGAATCTTGAGGGAAAAAAATGTGAAGACACACTATCTGAACCCAAAGCAGTGCCTCAATGGAGTGGATTCCAGGTGTCAGCGGAGGCCCGGGAGTTTACGGTTTTGATATAGTTGCTTTGCTTTTTCATTTTTCTATATTTGAAAGAGGATGAGAAAAGTGAGTTATAAAGACGAGATAGCAAATAAGCTAAGCATCAAATCATGCCATGAAACGAGCATCATTTATCAAATGTCTGCAATGACCAGGTACGTGGTATACAACATCTCATTTGCCAGATCAACAGCCACCTGTGTATGTTTTCACTGTTCTTTGCGCAGAACCTGTTCTGTTTGACTGGTTTCCTTGGACTCCCCACCCACTTCCCTCCATCTCTTCTTACCCCAAAGACAAACTGTCCTGTTCGCTTTGAAATCTATTGACACACACTATTATGGGGCCTTCATTTGACCACAAAACCCAACCAAATAGACAGTATGGATTCCCCACTTCAGGTACGCCTCTATGTTCATTTCTTCTGTGGCCACAGATTTGATATCTGACTTTCAACACTGTAGGCTGTGTAATATAGACCACGTGTGCTACCGTATTCAAATATTCTATCTCACGCAGCTCAGAGACTAAATTCTGTCCCCCTGAGAAAGAACTGTGCCTTCTATACAATGTCAATATTTCATAATAGCATTTTCCCACTTCCAGCCATACAATTCTGAGTTTTCGCTTTTTTGTTTTGGGGGTGCCAGCATGCAGGGATACCCTGGAATTTTTAACCACAGAGTTCTCATAGGGCAGAATAATTAATATCCGGTGAATGTCACTGTATTGCCCGGGGCCTGTTCCAGAGCGTCTGTCAGTTCTAGGGCCCGACTTCTAGCACAGGTATCTTTGAGTTCAGCAGATAGTGGGTCTGCAGGATGGTTCCAGATTCTAAAAGTGGTTCTGAGCTCCCTCAGACACTAGAGGATAGGAGAAGAGGAAGCAGCAGAAAGTGAAGATTTTATTCGGAGCTGCTAAGTCTCTCAGAATCTGCCAACGGTCTCAGAACTTCCCTGAATCACTCCAGCCCCTCAGTTCTCTGGAGAGCGCTTCCGAGAGCATCTCGAGTGTGGCCTCGGAAACTGCTCATCACTCAGCCCAAACCCAGACCCTAAGGAAGGTCCCAACAGCCCTTGATGTTTTCCCAAAGGGCCCAAGGAAGGAGAGGAGGCAGCAGGGGAGGGGAACACCTGATGGATCTATACTGTCCAGCCCTGCCTTTCACTGGGACATCATCCTCTACACCCACAGTTCTCAAAGCAAGGTCCCCGGATCCCCGGGGAGATCCTAAGACTCTTTTAGAGGTCTGTAAGGTCAAAGCTATTTTCATAATACTACTAATATTTTTGTCTTTTTCACTGTGTGGACATTTGCACTAATGATGAAAAGGCAATGGTGGGTAAAACTGCTGGCGTCTCAGCCCAAAATAAGACAATGGCACCAAAGTGTTCTAGTAATCATAGCCGTCTTTCCCACCAGGCACTCCAAGTTGTTTTGTTTTGTTTTGTTTTGTTTTTTAAAGATCCAGCTTTCCTTAAGAATGTACTTGATGAAGCAGAAAAATATTGATTTTATTATATCCGGACTCTTAAGTATCTATCTTTTTAATATTCTATGTGATGAAATGGGAAGTACGCATAAAGCACTTTCGCCTCATACACAATCATGATGACAGTCTCAAGGAAAACCACTTATGGATTGAGTTACAGAGTGAACCAAAGCTGCTTTTGTCATAGAACACCGTTTGTACTTGAACAAACAACTGACAGATAAACTCTGGTTCTTCAGACTTGGGTATGTGGCAGACATTTTCTGGAAAATGAACAAAGTGTGCCTGTCCCTTCAAAGAACACAACTGATAGTATTCATTTCCAATAATAAAATTTGAGCTTTCAAGCAAAGGTTAAAATTTTGGAGAACCCACATTTACCACCCTGAGCTTGACAGCTTGCCAATAATTAAAGGCTTTTCTGATGAGACTAGTTGTGATATTAACAACTAATGTGATTTTCTTTTCATATTGTATAATGAAATGTGTCAACATTTGGAAGATGGTCACAACTCAGTAAACCAATATTTTCCACATGACCAATTCATGACGTTACAGAACCATGCATAGGCAAAAGATCCATTCAAAGTACAAGATAATCTGGTGGATTTTAATGTAAGAGTATGAAAAGTTCTTTGATAAGGTTTCAGATTCTGCAACTAGTCTCTAGAAAACTATCTCCTGTGGAGTCTGGGTTCAATATCAAAGAAGAATGTTCACGATTATCTGAAAAGGCTACTAGAATACTTCCTTTTCCAACTACATATCTTTGTGAGGTTGTATTTTCTTTATATACTTTGATGAAAATAACATATCTCAACAGGTTGAAGGCAGAAGCAAATATAAGCTGACACCTATCAAGCCAGTAATTAAAGAGATTTGGGAAGAAAAAGAGATCTGTAAAAATATAAACAATGTACTCTTTACCATCTACTTTGTTTTGCAAGTATATTTTTTAAAAAATGTTACTTACGTTACCATAAGAGTTTACTATTGTTATTTTCAAGTAATTAATAAACAAGTATTTTTAATTTCTCAGTTTGAATTTCTAATGTGGTAAATAACAACAGATACAACCCACACAAACAAGAGCACTTTGGCTTCCTCAATAATTTTTAAGAATGTAAAGACAGAGTTGCTAGATTTAGCAAATAAAAATGCAGGGTGCCCAGTTAAATTTGAATTTCAGATAAATAACGAACAATATTTTAGTATAAGTATCCATGCAGTATTTGGGACATACTTATACTAAAAAAATTACTTATTGCTTATCTGAAGTTTATATCTAATTGACCGTTCTTTATTTTATTTGCCTGTTAAGATGTGCTGAGCCCAAAAAGTTTGAGAAACACTGCACTAGACGATGCCCCTCACACATGTGCTGAAACACTAATACTAACAATGATTAAGCACCCATTGTGTACCAGACCCAGTGCTAAATTCTTGACATATATTATTACCTCTTCAATCATCTCCAAAATCCTATGTGACAAGCACTATTATGATCCCTGTTTTACAAATGAGAGACCAGAAAGCCAAAGAAGTCAAGTAAAGCTAATCATTGGTGAAAGGCAAGACTGGAACCCACCCACTCATGCACCAAAATCTCAGCTTGTAACTGTTAGGCTTACACTGAACTCTGAATAATGGAGAATCCCAAAGATGATGGGGCTTTCTGCTTATTTGCATCTCAAATTTTAGTAATCAATTTCTGTTACTTCTCTTCTCTCTCTCTCCGTCTCATAGCTGTGAGTGCTGCCATCAGAGTAATGGTGACAACCAAAATGGTGTGTCAGGGAATTCTATCCAGAACTGGCCATCAGCATTTTGACTTGGAATAGACTTTCCTAATGGATGGTTCCCTGGTCATGACAACAATATTGTTCAGGGCTGGGAATTCTGGAATGGAG